AGAAAAGGCAAAAACAAATTAAAAAAAAGATTTTGCACATGGGAATTTAAAGGGAGTAGCTAGAATACACTATTTTTAGATGAGGACATTTGTTTGTGGAATATTCCACCAGATATATAGCACCACTATCCAGTGCCTCCACCAAGGAGTGAGTGGTGGGGGAAGGAAAGAAGGGCACGGCAGGCTGAGGTGAAAGCATCCAGAGAGAGAGCAGCGAGATAACAGAAATGAAAGAAATAATCCAAAATGTTGATTTAAGGAGGAAAAAAAAATGCCTTCTCTGGCATCAGGAATAGTTCAAGATCAAAGGCAAAGATTCTGATTTTAAAAGTTCTGAGTCTGCTTTTCTTAGACCTGAGTCCCAGGGAGAACTGAAATGGTGGGAGAAATTATTGCAGCTCTGCTCCTGGGAGGCATTGCTTTTGCAACCCTCCTGTTCCTGAAAACTTCACTCGCTTGGGCTTTACTATGGGGGCTGGCTGATAATATGCCAATCCCACAATCTGTCTTGGGCAAATAAATCACAGGAAAGAAACTTTTCAGTTTAAAGGGTAAGAAACTCAAGTCCAACTTTGATTTTTGCAACCATCACCACATCATAGGAATCCCACAATTGCTACCCTAGTAGAACAAACAGGGCTCGCTATATATGGAGACTACGCTACTGCCCTGTGGCCTGAGCAAGAGGAGGAGGCACCCGGCTGTCCAATACCCTCAGAGCCACAGGAGTCAGCTCTTCCCTTCTAGTCCTCCCTCCTCACCTGTGTCCTTGCTGATTGCTGTTTCTCGTGGGTTTGGCTGTTTGAGCAACATAATGGGGACAGACATATGCATGAGCCACTTTTAAGCACTGTCTCTCAATTTCTGTGTCTAGTTACTGTACAGAGAGGGTTTCAGTGACCCAGGTGGTCTAAAGCCAATTATCTGGTATCTAAAACATAAAAGAGATTTTTACTCACAGAATCCCCATCATCATCTCCAACCCCAAATTCTCAATCAGAATAAACTTTTTTTTTTTTTTTTTCTTTTTGGCCTGGGGAGGGAACCTAGGACTTCTGAGCTACATCTTCAGGCTGAATCAGTTCTTAACAGAAGGTCTTACTAAATGTTGGTAGGAAAGGGGGAGAAAAAAGAAAAGACACAAATTAAGACCACAGGGGATGGCTGAATAGTTTATGTTAAAGAGTGAGCTGGCAGCAAGGTATCAGTCTTCACTGTGTCTGCCTTTAGGGAGTTTATTGAATGTGCTTTTGTGATATAATTTATAAGGAAATTGGTTTTACTCAAAAGGACATTTTTGCTTTATGTTTTGTAGCACCCTTGAGTGCTTAAAAAAAGGGAGAAGGTAATTCCATTAAGCTTTCAATTTTCACAGGCAAAAGAAATGAACTAGATGTGATTGGAAAGATAAGGCGATGGCCTTCACTTGAACTGACCTTGCTGGGAGGGGGGCGGTGGTGGGGGACTAAGAATCATGGCCTTTGTTCTAGAGATGCCGCTTCATGTTTAATTAGAGGGCTAGAGTGTCATTTTCTTCCCTCTATAAGCCCTAATCTCAGTTTGCTGAGAAAATGACCAGTTAAATTCACCGTGGGCAGGTCATCTGACCATCATGCCAACAGCTTTAGGAGTCATGTGTTCATTCTGGGGACCCTACATGGACTAAAGCTCATGGCCAACGTTAAAATCAAGACAGATGTGCAAGAGATATGCCCTGATATTTGGGGAATATGCATCTCTGCTTGCTTGGAAGTTCATAGTCCACACAGCCAAACCAAAAAGGCTTCATTAGGTTCCCCCAATACTCTCTAATCAAATCTAATCTTTTTGCCTATTGTTTGGAACACATGGGGAGGAAGAAGCCATTCAAAATTAAAGAAAGGATCTCTGGGCTGCAATGCAGCTCAGTGTAGAGCACTTTCCTAGCATGTGTGAGGCCCTGGGTTCCATCCCAAGCACTTCAGGGAAAAAAAAAAAAAAATTAAGAAGAAAAATGCTATTGCTCAAAGTTAAGTGTTTTCACATATCTGGCAGCGTTTCTAACACATTGAGTTCTGTAATCCTTAATGTATAAATTGCCTCCCTGTGAGAGCTGGATACAGTATAGCAATGCCGTGTTTTGTGTTGTTTTTTGCTTCTTTGAACGATCTTTCTCAAATAGCATTTCTCGAAAACTGCACTGCCTAATACTGTAGCTACTGTCACTATGGCTTTTTTTGTATTTAAATCTAATTAATTTAAATAAAATCCAATTATAAAAATAAGGAGTACCTAATTTCAAAATTACAAATATCTTAACCTCTTTTAATTTTTAAGAATTTGTCTTCCAGATACATCTGTTAATCAAGTATAAAATAATACTATCATATTCATCTCAGTCTTGCTTATAATATCAAAATATTGGAAATAACCTGAATGTTCACCAGGAAGGCAATGGTTAGTTATGTCTTTCTTTTGCTGCAGATGCGTGGCTAGTGAATCCTTGAAATGTGGCTATTGTGACTGAGGAAATCACGTCCCAGGTAGCAGAAGTCCTGGCCCCATGCCCCATGCCCCATGGTCTAAAGCCTGGTGAAATTATTTAATTATTGATTGCTCACCCTGTCTTGCCTGGGCTTTCCTACAGAAACCCCCAATAAAGGCAGTGGGATAAACATTCCCTTTGCTCCTATTTTTTACTCCCACCTCAGTCTTTCTCATGACCTGTGTGGTTCACAGTGCCTCCTACACGAAAATCACAAGTTCAAAGCCAGCCTGGTAACTTAGTGAGATCCTGTCTCAATATAAAATTTCAAAAGGCTGGGCATATATACTTCAGTGGTAAAGTGCTTGCCTAGCATACATGAGCCCCTGGGTTCAATCCCTAGGACTGAAAATAAAAAAAGATTAATGTCAGTTGCATATCCCTTCAACCCAGTTACTGAGAGTCTGGATCATTGCAGAACGATGAGAATTAGCAAGAGTAAGATCCATATGGTGTTTCTGAAATGGAAATCCAATGAGCCAAATCGGAAAGTAATTACACTTGACCCTTGAACAATTTAGGGGCACCAACCTCCTCATGGAGTCAAAAATCTGAGTGTAACTTTAGACTCCCGCCAAACTGAACTATCAATAGCCTGCTATCAACAAGAAGTCTTACTGATAACATTAACAGTTGATTAATCCATACTTTATATGTTACATGTGTTGCATACAGCAAAAAAAAAAAAAAAAAAGTGAGACCCACCAGAAATAGCTTTTTCCTGCCACACACAATTTCCTGGAAAGATGAACCACTCACGTGGAGATGATCAGTAGCACACAGAGTTTTAAGCAGATAATCCTAATGCTTGAGCTCACTGCAATGGCTATAGGAGGTGGCTACAAGATTATTATAGTTCTACAGTTAATCTTATGCAGTTATGATATAAAGATAACAATGTATCTTTACGTTTGCTTGCATTTCTCTCAACTGTGAATGGGGCCACATACAGTGTGCTTAAGTTTTGATAAAATTTAACTTTTTAATAACAGATTTGCATGTATTTATGGTAGTAAGTGACAAAATAAAACTGTTATCTACATATACTTTACACACCATGACATACCTAACTTTTTCTTGTTTGAACAGGTCTAGGCTGTGATGTTTAGCACAAGTTTTTTCAAATTGTTGCAAATCTCCAAACAAAGAATCCCTTTATGTATGTGGACCTATGCAGTTCAAACCTGCATTGTTCAGGGGTTAGCTGTAATAGGAAGTCAAAGAAATGTTCATTTGTAAACTAGAGACAGGGTATTTTAAAATTGTCACCATTTACTTTGGCTGGTTACCATTTACTCCATCTTGATAAGGACTTACTTTAACTTGTTCAAAACACATTAAAAAAAATTTTTTTTTACATGGATACATACTTGGAGTTGCACAATTTAGTTAAACATATATTAAAAGAACTTTCCAAACTTGAATATCAGTGTTGTTCATAGTTCTGGATTAAAATATTCACCTAAACTTGTGAAGATATAAAAGTGTTGTCTTAAGCTGGGTGGAGTAGTGAGTGCCTATAGTCCAGCTACACAGGAGGCTAAGGCAGGAAGATCATTTGAGTCCAGGAGCTTGAGACTAGCTTGGGTAACATAAAAAGACACTGTCTCAATCAATTAAATAGTCCATCAGTCAGTCAATCAATCAATCAATCAATGGTTGTCTTATTATCATAGGCAATTCAATGCACAGCAGTTGGAAATATCACCTTCCTTTTTTCCTTCTGAATGCAATTAGACTCCATTACTATATATTGTGTACTCTAATAACGTGAGATAAAATATTTGAAACTAGAGATGAATTTAATGCCACATACAAATGTAATAAAATTAAAAGTTTCAAAACAGTGACATTTTCTCCTTTGCCTCTCACCTTACCCAGTGGGACAGACAGACCAGTAATATGAAGAAACTAATAACTGACTTACCCAGATGATTACAAAGGTGATTTTTTGGTAAAGCCACAATACAACCTGGAATGCCTGATTTTTAATTCTGACAAGTCATTTGAGAGTAAGCAAGAGTTAATGGAAAAATATTTTTTTAACAAGAATTATGTGGTCTTTTCATTTCATGGAAGGTTAAAATCATGGTAGGTCTCAGGATTAGGTCCCCAAGCCATGTTGAGACCCAACAGTTCATACGGTTGGCTGAAGGTCTGCTACCTTTCCCATGGCTTCTAGCTCTTACTAGGCTCTTTAGTAACCCTGAAGGAGGAGGGGGAGCAGAGATGCTATGCAGTATCTTGTGAGACCTTATAGACTCTTTGCAGAAGACTTCAAGCTTCTTGGAGGAACTAAACAAATAAGGGTTTTTGTTAGTTGGAGAGGTAAAGTGTATAACCACCAATATGATGCTTGCAGACACCTGCTGTTTGAGATGTACGCAAAGAATTTTTATGAAACAGAAATCAAGTCAAAAGTGTCCTAGGTTAAAAAAAAAAAAGGAAAATTTTAAGAACTGACACAGGGGACTTATAAAGGTTGAACATCAAATTTTAATCTTGAAACATTTTATCTAGTCCTCAAATCATTAACATGAAAAGGAATGATAAATTATAATTTTATCATTACCATATCACTGTGTAACAAGCCCTTGTTACAAAATCCATCTACTGTCTCCAAAAAAACCAATAGAAAACCCATACATTATATTACCTAATGATCTATTAACAGATGAAATTTTAACCAACTTTATACCAGGAAACTTATTAACAGAGGTACTTCAATCACATAGCTTAAAATATGAAGAAAAGACAGGTAAAAAAATTATCTTAACCTGTAGTAGTCTTTTTACTTTTTAAAATTTTTATAAAATACACTAATTTCCCAAAATAAAGAATATTATGACACATTGGTGTCAACTTACACAGATGAAAGCTGGCATCAGCTTTTTTTCCTAACTAAAGTTCATTTCACCAACCTTTATATATTACATGAATATCCCAGTAAAGTATTTTTTTTAAAAAAATTCAACACACAGGAACATAATGTACAGTGTTTTATATAAAAAAAATGGTTAACTTAGGAATGATTTCATTTTCAACCACATTCTGTATCTTTTTAAGACGATGAAACTTCTTGCTATTGCAAGAAGACTTTTAAGTCCATGTTTCTATTTCCCAGCATTAATTCTTAAAAGTGTAAAAAAAAAAAATAAGGTTTGTTGTTTCTTTACTTAGTTCCCATGAGAAAACTGTGGTAACAACCTCACCACCAGGCTGCCTTCCCTCCTTTTGTTCTTAGGACTCCCCAGATCCACGACTGCGTGGCACCGTAATGAAATCTGAAATCGGTGGAAGAGGCCAATGACATCAGCGAATGGATATAAATATAAAAAGGCAGGCTCAGCTGGATCCTGCCACAATTGTAAGGTGTGGGCACACTGGCTCCCGCCAAGCCTTCCCGCCAGAGCTTCCCAGGAACGGCCTTAGGAGCAGCCTCCTGGATATGCTCATCCTTTCCATCTGTCTGCTGGGAGGACACAGAGCATTTTCAGTCATGACTTGTGTGATGGCTGATGAACACACCTTAGCCAGAGAGGGAGCGCGTGTGCTCAGCAGACCTTGGTCAGGAGAGGCTGTGGGGTAGAGAGTGCTGTTTATTTTACATCTCCTGCATCGGTCAATGCTGAATGCAAACTAACCTCAGCAGAGAACGGCAATGAACTATACACACCATGCACAGTCCATGATACTGTGGGACTTGGCAACACATGCAAGACGGTGGAGAAAGAGCCACAATGGATGAACGTAAACTTTTCACAGTGTTTCTTACAGCCTTTGACCCGAACACGAGCGCATCACTTACCACCACATCTCACAAACGTTTTACTGTGTCCTGGGCATGCAGATCACTTGGGGTAAAATGGAAATTACATTTCATAGCCATTCTCAAGACAGCGAGTATAACGTCAATGTTCCCTACTTTCCAACCAATGAATTGAGCTGCTTCTGTTATAAAAACTAAATATTATTTCTGAATACACTTCTAGTCAATGCTTGTGCTTTGTTTTCCCTTATCACTTGTTCCATTCTAGGGAAATTTAAAAACCCATAAAATTAAATTGAGGACTAGGTCTTCAGGTTGATTCCTGATCAAACTAGAAAAAAAGGATCACTAACCTTTCTTCTCTTGAGTTTTTCTCCCTACCCCAGGCCCTTTCTATACTGATTCAATTCTATGTTTGGTTTCCCAAAGAGGAAAACCCAAATTAGAGAACTGGCAATTCTGTCTTAGAGAAGCAAAATATAATGGTGGGGGGGCAGGGGTGAGGGAGGGAAGATGCATTCGACATCAAAATGTATCTCTCGCTCTCAATAGGAGATAATCCAGCTTCTCCTTGGCTCTCATTTCATAAATTAATAATTTCTTAAAATCATAATCCAAAGAATTTATCTATTACAAGAAAAGTTCAAGTTTAAAAAAAAAAAGCAAATAAATTAGTTAAGCCTTGTAAACAATTGTCCATTTTAGTTAGACATCTTTCAAAAACAAAAAAAGGTTGCTCAGTACAAGGCACACCTTACAATCCCAACTGAGTGGTGAAACCTAGACACCGGCTTTGCTCTGCTGGCTGGCGTGGCTGTGCTGAGGCTCCGGAGCCACATACCAACCCTCTGCTCAGCTTCTGACCCTTCCAAGTCCACAGATGTGCTCTTTCCATCAAACTGCTTTGTGCTCTTTTGTTGTGTGATGTGATTTTGAGTCTCCCCAGTGTTTGTCTCCTCAGATGTTTTCCACAAAGCTTCCTGGGAAAAGGCCAGTTTTCCCATTGCGTTGCAACGTGCCTTTGAACCAGCCATCCTCTCGTTTTTTATGAACAAACACAATATCTCCTTCTTTAAGTTCAAGTTCTGCCTCACTCTGAGGAGGATAGGAAACCACCACCCGGTGCCTACAAGAGAGAGGGAGACTTTGGTTAAGGCCATCAACGCAGTGATAAGAATGGTGCACTGGTCAATCTGCATGAGCCTTCAGAATAAACAGAATAGGAAATAGCATGAATTTGTTTATAAGGGTCTGTAAAAACTCAAAATACAGCTCTTCTCTGTCAGTAGAGGTTTGCTTGGCATTAATGTGTTTGGATTTGTGCATTTGTCCACTACTGATGGTCCAGACTGGTTTATTTGGGTGACCTATGCAGGAGAGCCATTTGACCCCTCCCAGTGTTTGTATGTTGGCCCTACAAACTGGGAAACTGAAAAGTCTTATTCAATTTCCCAGGAGAAGTGTCCTGCCCTTTACTCCAAGAAGAGAAGAGTGTATTTATTTGGTGAGACCGGGAGAATAGCTGAGCATCTAGGTTCGAGCCTCTTCGAATTGTTTGCTTTCAGTGGGCTGAGTGGGCTCTGCTCTGCTGTACCTTGTAACCAGAGAGGGGTCAGGTCAGACCTGCTTGCTGGCAGTACATTTGAAAACCTGTGTCTTTGCAACTCTTATTCTGGGACTTGGCAGGAATGCTAAGGAAGTTCATCTGCTTTACACAGCCACATTCTCTGTTGGAAAGGTAGCCCAAGGTCCAGACTTGGAAAGGAGACTGTGGCCACAGATTCAATCCACCACCACCATTAATGAGTTTGACATTCTGTTAGTCTCAGATCTGTGCTTATTTCTCCTTGTTTCTCAACTCAACTATCAGTGGGAAAGGTAGAGTTAGCACTTAGACACTCCAGCAGCTTGCTGGTTTAATATTTCCTTTGTTGCTGAGGCTCTCTGTATGGGATTATTCAGCAGCCAAGAAAGCCGGAGGAAGGTAACTTAGTTTAGGCTCTACATTCTTTTAGCCTTCTCTATTTATCCAGTGATATTTCTTTCCTTTACTCCTTTTGCTTTTTCCAACCAAATGGTGGGGGATGGGAATGGTGGTGTATGGCAGCCAACACCCGCTGGGGCTATAGCGATCCTTGCCTTCCTGTATTCTCAACACTTGTGTAGGCTCCTCCCACAACACAAAGGGATGACCTGTCTGACTGATAATGTATTATGAAAGTGACAGCATGTGATTTCTGAGGCTAGATGATTAAAGGTATGTGGCTTCCAGTTTACTTTCTCTTGGATCATTCACTGTGAGAAAAAATCAGCAGCCATGTTGTAAGGACACTCAATATCCCCACAAGGCCACTGCATTGTAAGGAACAGAAGTCTCTTTCCAAAACCCCAAACTATCCAGCCAATAGTGATATGAATGAATCACCCCAGTCATTCATATCCACTTATATTTACAAAGACCATACATATATAAGACTATTATACTATTTAATACACACACACACACACACACACACACATGCACACACACACAAAGGCTATGTGGCTACCCAAGCAAAAGTATAACACAGAGGTGGGTTAGCTGTTTAGAAAGGGTTAGCTAATTCAGACACAAGCATTTATAAACACGTGTGTCAGGGTTCAATCAAGCACAGACTTGGGGATGAGGTCTGGTACTGTGAGGAAAGCCTTAGCCTAGGGAGTGGGCTGACAAGTTTTTAGGGACACATGGAGCTGCTTAACTTTGGGTCAGTTATCTTAGCTTTCTTAGTCACAGTTTCCACATCCGTAGAATAGGACTATGATGAGATGCTTTGAATGAAGCCCTCGTATGGCAACTGACACAGAGTTCAACCCCAAAATATTAGCTCCCACTGTGATCATATGGTTTATATAAGAGTAGGCAGGAGTCTGGCACTTCTTGGAGGTAAGGTTTGAAGGATGGACCTCTAATCAGGAAACTCAGGCCACAACCTAAAGAATCTCTTGATAATAAGACTTCAGAAACTTGAGAATGATCATAGTTTTAGAATCCTTTCTCTGACAAACGAATTCATTATGGCTTTATCTGAAGGAAGGATGCAGATGAGATTTCTCAGGTCTGATGCCAATATGCTGAAAATCTGGGTAAAAAGAAATGATGTAGTTCCCAATTGGGGCAAGTTAAAATTTAAGTAAAGCTCTATAATTCTAGAAAAAAAAAAAAAAGTACAAATGATTCCAAACATATTCAGAGTCTCTTATGAGACCCAATTCTAACTAGTTTTCTGCGAGCTGCCTTAAAGGTAAAATGGAACCAGAATAGTTTGAAAAATTTAAGTGAATTAGATTAATATCTGCATTTTATAAAATGCACTAAACCAATTTTGTCAAAAAATTTTTTGAACTAGAACTGCTGCTGGGCTAAGAACATAATCTTCCTGCCAAGTTCCCAGTGGGAGCAAATTTTCATTGCTCAGTTATAAACCTCTAGGGGGTGGAATGAGAAACTATGTGCATAATGGAAACTGTGACACAATCTTGATCGTATGAAGACTACCAGGTGCAGCAGTGACAGACTCAGAATTCTTCCAGCTCAGAACCTGGCCTCGAGCCTTGTGAGGTGGTTTGCACAGTTTTCTAATACAGACTCATGTGGCCAAATTCTGGGCACAACAGGCCAACTATCTCAGGCATTGAAAGAGCTTTGCCAAGTAGAAGGTTCACAGACTCACAAACAGATGTAAGGCCCAGCTGCAGAGGCCCTTCATTCACATCTGTGCCCCGCCCTCTGCCTCACTTGGATTAAGCCTGTCTTTATGTGAACAGGGATTTAGGGCAGTTCTAAATCTCGGGAGTTCATGACTTCCATGGCACCTGCCGATCCACTTCCTTAAACTCGCACCCAGTCTACTCCTCTTCATTATCATTGTCACCATCCTGGTTGGTGACTTCATTAACATCTACTTCTTTCCTGTCTTGAATCTCTCCCTGTCTCCAATTCATCCTACACATTTAATATGCTTAAGTGGCAACTCTATTTGTAGCTACCCATCGCTGAAAAATCATTAACAGCTCCCCAATGCCTGTAAGGTTAATCCTCAGACTAGCCCACAAAGCCAACAATGATCTGGCCTTAATCTCTATCGCTAGAGCTGCCATTATCACCATGAATGTACCAAACACCCCCTTAAGCTGGAACACGCTTCCCAGATATGGCCTCCGCTTCTCCCACTCCACACCTTGCTCGTGTTGGTTCCTTCCTCTGGGAATTTCTTTAACAGCATCTCTGCCCATCCACACCTTATCAATCTCTCAAAGCCTGACTCCAATTCTCCCCTGTGAAATCTCCAGCCCCATGGCTGGAAGTAATTTCATGCTTGACTGAATCCCAGAGGCCTCCATGTATATTTCTTATGGCACTTAGCACAGTCTACATTATATTATTAGCATCCGTGTCCCTGTCTCATTTATTCTACCAGACCATAATCTGCTTGAGGGGTGAGATGATGCTAAATTCACTTTATGTTTCACACTACCAAGTAGAGTTATATATAGTGATTATTGTTAAACGTGCACCGTGATGCAAAGGCCTAACCACACAGAAAAGCTATTTTTTTAAATGTATTTTAAATGTTTCTTTGCTGAGGGCCATTACCAAGTAGGAATGACGCATCGAAATTTTCTTGCCAAGCGTACCCCATGCTGCTTAGAGGACATTCGATGGGACATTGCATGCATGCTTTAATAAGGTGACCTTGCTCAAGGACCAAGGCGGATCCGGGTTTAGAGCTGATCAGGTTTGAGGAAGTAACCGGCTCCTTGAGTTTAAGGCGTTGCCAGTTTAAGATAATGGGTTTTAGGGAAGTTGGAAGTTGAAGATTATTGCTGGGATTAGGGTGTTCCTGTTGCTTGTTCCCGTTGAGTTCTCGTGAGATTAAAATGGGATTTGGAGAGAGCCTCGTGGAGTAGGTGAATTGTGCGGGAGACAGCAGAACGCGATTGTCCCTGGACCTGTGTGGAGGCGGTGTGAGAGCGGGAATAAAGAATTGCTGTTTGAACCTACAAAGGTGTGTGGTGGCTCGTGATTCTGGTGCCAAGCCGAGACCTTGGCATTTCTTTAAAAGGAATGAAATCCAGATACCTGCTACAACATAGAAGAACCTTGAAAACATCATGCTAAGTGAAATAAGCCACACACTAAAGGACATACACTGTATTGTGAGACATCCAGGACAGTCACTCACAGAGATGGGAAGGAGAATGGCAGCTCAGGGCCTATGGGAGCCCAGGCTGGGAGTTGTTGCTAAAAGATACAGAGTCTCAGGGTGGGACAGTGAATATTTCTGCAGATGGATGGTGGTGAATGGTGGTAAACAATGCACATGTACTTGATGCTGCTAAATTGCACATTGCTAAATTGGTAAATTTTATCTGCATTTTACCACAGTTCAAAAAATGAGATGAACAAATGAATAAAAAGAATGGAGATAGTAGAAAAAAGAAAGGGAAGAAGAAAGTTCCCCCTGATCTCTTTGCACAAAGAACTGAGATGTAGGTGTGGGGTATGGCTCAGATCCAAGCGGGCCTTTGCATGGCTGTGTGATTCACTCACTTTCCAAGGACAGTTACCAGGGTAAAATTAGAGAAACAAGTCTCGCTGCTAAGTAAAGAAATTCCACTGATATCTAGTGCCAAACCTCCTGGTTTGGGCTACAGTAGTCTAGCTTTCACCTGTCTTTTATTAGTACACATTTTCTATTTCCTTGATTCCTCTGGCTTTTCTTGTATTCTCTGAAGTTCTCGGATTTTCATTTCTAATCTCCCCTGGTTTAGCCCAAACTGGCCTCCCTGTAACGCTGGGAGCCGCTCAATCCATCACCTTGGCCTGTGTGAGTAACCATCACTACTTTCTGCCAGTTGCCAGAGCAGTCTAATATCCAATTACGCATTTCACTCGCAAAACCGTGATAGCTGGCTTGGTAGCTTGCTCAAAGTCCAAGTAAATTATGTCTGTCGCTTCACCCAGTGAGTTCATTGTCACTGACTTACAGAAATTAATCATGTTGGTTAAGCCCGACTGCCTTTCTATAAATCTATCTATATCCAATTTGTTTGTTTCCAAGTATTCTAGCCTAATCCCTGATCAAAGATCATAGGTTCTTTTCCAATTTAGGAGATGGGCTTATAGGTATGTGATTATCAGTTTAATTTCTAAACTTAAAAATACATAGAGACAGCTGACTTGCTATGTCTCCCTAAGCCATATATGTATGTATGTATATGGGGGGGAGGCTGTCACACATACTTTTATTTGCCATTTCTTCTGAAATATTTTATTTCTACTTTCTCTTTGCAATTTCCTAATTATTTTTTCTCAATCCTAAAATAGAGCCTAAAATATTTGTTCTATTATTTCTGCTGTCATCAATTATACATTTTCTGCCTCCAGGAAAGAGTGCTATTTCTTGCTTGTTTTCTTCAGTCTCTCTCACAAACACAAAAGAATCCTTTTGTTCCTTAGAGAATTCCCTCAGCTGACACTGAGACCTGTCAACACACTTCAAGGTTCGTCCTTCCTTATTATGAGACTGCTTAAGTCTTTACATCACATGAATGCTTCTCTCCATTGACAGCACTGGCAGCCCCAGTCTCATGTCTTTCTCTTTCTTTCTTTCTCTCTTTATTTCAAACTTTACTCATTTATTTATTTGTTCATTTATTCCTGTTACTTTAGAGATTTATGGGTCATGATTTGAGAGGTTTGGTGCTGGCTCTTGTTATAATCTGTAGGGATCCCTATCTCATATTGCCCTGATATTATAGACTAAAAATATTTCTATGAAATTCAATCAGTAAAAGTTCTACCATCAGAACCCTGGGCTTCTGCATTTTGAGAGGGCAAGAACTGATGATGTTTATATTGTCAATCAAGGAAACACAACATCTTCAAGTGCTTTCTGAATCATACTGATATGAAAGTTGATTCTTTCCTTCATATTAAGCAGTAAATACTTTTTGCTGTGGTAAAATTTTTGAAATATGCAAACAAGTAATCTCTAAATTATATACCTGGTAGCTTTTTATTTTTCCTGGTGCTGGGATTGAACCCAGGGCCTCACATGCTAAGCAAGTCCCCTACCATTGATTATATCCCCAGCTCTCCTTGTAAGTTTTCTATTAAAAAATTCATTTCTGGTGGATAATAGCCCATTTTCTTACGTTTTTACAGTCAGGCAGACTTAAGAATCCAAGCTAAATAAATACGATTCTCATCACTGTATGAAAGTAAAGGGCTATGAGAAGTTGGTCGTGCCAGCTATTGTGTTTAATATTCCACTAAACATATGAATTATAAAAATATAAATGTGGGCAAAAATCTTCTCCAAAGACCTATTTCCCACTCCTAAAAATTGAAATGGTTATATTAAAAACGTGTGAGAGAATTCCAGAGTGCCCGAGCCCATCTGTCCCCTCATTAAATTCTCCATGTTCCCTGTCTGATGTGCGTCCCTTGCTCCCTGAAACGCCATCACCTGTCTTCCTTAGTAATTTCTCCTTTTCAGGAGCGCTGAACAGCAGGAGCCTGCTGTTCGAAAAGAGCCCCTCTAAGAGGAAAGGGCTGGAATGCAGAAGCCACAGAGACAGAGGACATCTGGCAACTGAAAAGGAATGCATAATGGGGTAGGAGGCTCCCAGTGCCTGAGTCAGGGCCTGGGGAGTCTGGGCAAGTGAACCATCCCTGGAAACAGTCACACAAATACCAAAATGACAGAGAAAAGAGGACAGCGAGCCTCACGGAATGCAGGAAACTGCAGATCATCGCCTGGAGGGAAACAGGGAGCCTCTGGGACCAAAAGAAAGTACACAAGGGACTGGACTATCTCCAGGGACAGGACCTCTTGTCCCTGGAAAGCAGAGTAACAGCACTGCAAGAAAAAGTCTGCCGCTCAGAGTAGAAGACCAAGTGAAGTCAGGACACAACTTCAAAGCTTTACCAGAGCACAACAGACGCGAGAGAAAGAAAGAATGATTCCAAGTGTAAGAAAGAGATGCTTTTTTAGGATAATGTTTCATTTCTCAACTGGTTTTATAAGAATCAGAATTATTATTTAACTTTACTATAAAAACATACACTGTGCATTTTGTACTAAATTCTCATAGGTTGTTTGAAGTTTATTCTTTTCCGTTTTTCAGTTTTTTCCCCATATTTTTAAATTGGTGCATTATAGTTATACATAATGATGGGATTTATTATTACATATTTGCACATGCACACAATATAACAATAAAATTTGGCCAATATCACTCCCCTGCACTTTAGTTTTTTTTAATATTTCTTTTTAATTGTAGATGGACACAATACCTTTTATTTATTTATTTTAATGTGGCACTGAGGATGGAACCCAGTGCCTCACTTGTGCTATACAGGAGCTGTACCACTAAACTCCAACCCCAGCCCTCATAGTTTAAGTAAAAAAGTATGCCACAAAATCATATAAATGAAGACTTTAGATTTTGATGAGTACAAATGTTCATATGGCTCTTATCTGAAAGACAAAGGTAAGTGCTGGGGACTTGGCTTGGTGGTAGAATGCTTGTTGGGCATGTGGGAGGCCAGACACTCTCCAGCACAGCAATAAATAAATAAATAAATTTTAAAAATGCAATGGTGAGGGGCTGGAGTTGTGGCTCAGTGGTAGAGCGCTTGCCTAGCATGTGTGAGGCACTGGGTTCGACTCTCAGCATCACCTATAAATAAACGAATAAAATAAAGATCCATCAACATCTTTAATTTTTTTTAAAAAAAATGCAATGGTGAAGTGAATTTAAGTAATTTTAAAATATAGTGTTTTATAGTAAGATCTCAGTTCTGTAACACAGAAAATGCTTTGAAAAAGGCAATACTTCCATGAATTTAAAATTTGCTTCATTTATGAAATGCAGGTCACGAGGGAATGAAACTTACAGAAACAATGAAACAGCATTTAAAGCAAAACGTTTGTTATTTGATGTGAAAATAGCACACTGCTTTTAGGGTTCTTCATGATGTTTTCCTGGGTAATGAATAGTATTTCATTCTCAGTTTGTATAATCCAAGTAGATTTTGTCTCATTAAGTGTATTTTCTCTCCTAACACACTCCTAGAATCCCACTGGCTGTGTCAAACAGAACTGCTCCTGTTTCTGATCATTATTCAAGGCCAGAACCACTAAAACAGACCTCGTTATTCTGAGTGTACTGAACCAAGTCACTGGGTCAGGAGAAGAGTCAGAACTAAGACTAAGGACAGCCACACTCTTCTGGGTCAGGAGGAAGAAGGAAAGAATTCTCTAGCTACTTTAAACCAGCAGGTGATGATATCAACTTTTAATAAATGCAGAGGTTAAATAGAGAGAGTGACTGCTGGTAATGGAACAGAAGCAGGAAGAAGGAAGTAAATACAAGTGAGTTTCTGGTGACTGACAAATTTCATCGCATCCATACTGAAAATAAAGAAAAAGAAGGCCGGAGACCAACCCCACGGAAGAGATCTAGGGATGGGGGCAAAGGAGACCAGAGTACATTGCAGCAAGTGAATAGAGTCAGAGCTTGACCGTTATTACAAATTCAGCTAAAAATAAGGACACAAGAAAATACCTTAAGATATCAGATTGTATTTTCCAGCATAAAGCTTGCTATTCAGAGTTTTCTCCTAGAATGACAGTGAACTCACCTTTCACAAACAACAGGCCTAGAGTCATTTGCAACAGGACCCAGGGAGGAACATGCCTGACGAGGAGGAGGCGCGATGGGCACTGCCGAGTCCAGGGAGCTGGTCTTCCGATGGAAAGCATCCTGGGCCAGGGCTGCCCCTGCTGGTGCCGCGGTGACTGGGCCATCCCCGTCCACAGGGCAGGAGCCTGCTCGACCGTGGCCTCCTCCCAGGGGTAGCTCAGGACCCACGGCTCCCTGCAGGGGCAACTCGCTACCACTCAGCTCCATTTCCAGGGTGGGCGATGCTGGAGGGGATACTCGGGGCTTCCGTTTGGTGGAGGCACCAGACAGCAACTTCAATAACCCCTTTTTTTCTTTCTAGAAAAAGAGAAATAGGGACAGTAGTTGGAGACGGACAGCGCTATTGCTGTTGTAATCTATAGGTCCCTCCAGTTTCCGCTTTTCCTTGGATCTTTTGAAATTGTTTGTTGATACTTGGTTACTGGTAATCTGGTGACCAGTGTTTGTTTGTACAGGCTTAAACCTGAGTTGCTGCTGCTTCTCCCATTCAGCCTGCAGGCTTTTGTTTGTTTTAGACATCGGGTTGTTCATTATCATCTTCTACTGAGGTAATGAAGATAAGCAGATAAAAAAGATAAAAGGTAGCTAATTCACAACAGGGGGACACTAGCCAAGAACAGAGTTACCTTAGATTAGGTAGAGGGGAGGACAAGGGAAGGGAGGGGAGAGCAGGGGATATGGGATAGGAAGTATAGAAGAAAGAAATAGATATTATTATTTTATGTTTATATGTGACTGCATGACCAATGTGATTCTGTAACATGTATAATCAGAAAAACGAGAAATTATACCCCATCTATGTATGATGTATCAAAGTGCATAAATTGCATTCTACTTTAACAAATAAAAAAAATTTTTTTAAAGATACAACAAAAACCCACCAATTTATCTCAGTTTGATAAAAGTCTAAGTAGATATTTAAGGATAAAATGAAAAATTCAGATGATAGATTGAACTGTCTGAAATTCTGCCTATCCTGTCTCTACTGTAAGGGAGCTGAATGAAATACAAACCTAACAGCATGTTATTCCACACCCACAGATTTGAGCCTCATCATTTACAGGAATGATACCTTCATCAGAGTGTAGGGCTAAACCACTTCTCACTCATCCTCACCTTGATTAAATTTAAGTAGTCAATAATAACAAAGTCAAGTCATTTCTATTCTGCAGCTACTCCCTTGATAAGAAACCCAAAATGCCACATTTTAATGAAAGCATCAGTATATTGATACTTTAGTATCTTTTGTTTTGCCAGCAAATGCACAAATAACAATTTTCCCCAACAACCTCATTTCCCAGAAACCATCTCTTGAATTTTTGCCTCTTTTGACATCTTGCTTGGCTCTGCTAAGAAAGCCAGAGCTTGAACTAGCTTTCCTTCATTCACAAACTCAAAAGTGCCAATGTTTTTTGATGACCAAGCTTAACATCATTTTAAAATCATTATCTTAAATTGTTTTACTAAGATGTCAACTACATCATTAAGTCCTCTTTATGGAAACTCTGCTTGAAAATGAAACATTTCATAGAGAACTATTTCTTTAGAAAACTCTGTAAGCAAATCAGAACTATTAAGGCCCACTAACGGTGACATGGAATTATCAGGGACCCACAAGGAAACAAAGCACTGAGAATTTTTTCTTGGAAATATGAGTTAGCTCAGATACAGTTAAAAAAAAAAAAAAAACAAACCCTTGGGGAAATGAATCTGAATCCACAATAACACAATTCCATTAGACCCAGAATGGCAGAAATGAGGAAGACGGAGCAATCATTTATCAGATGATGAGCAAGCATCCCTGGGAAATTGCATCACAGTCTCCATTTGCTTAATGCTGCTCACAGTATGCATTATCCCCTGGGCTGGAAATGGGAAGCAGGGTTAAGAGGGATAGGGAGTAAGTGCTAAGGTCATTTCTGTACCAGCTTGACTCGGGCTGTAGCTGAGCAGAGCCAGATCCCTTCAACCCATTCCAAGGCTGAGCAAGATCCTTCTGCGTCTCAAGGCCTGGGCTTCGACTTATCACACATATAACGTCACATTATCCAACAGGCTACCACCTGCCTTCCAATAAATGGGCCAACAAACTTGGACTACCTGCTTGAGTGTAGAAACTGTATCTTACACACCTCTATATTTTACACAGGACCTAGTACAGAGTCTTTCACCTATTAGAGCTGAGAGGCCAGGAAAATACTGGAAAAGGATGAGACCCATGGAAGGAAAGCCAAATATTTAGCTAGTGACAGGGCTCAGAAGATAAAACAGGAGTTTTGTATTTCCCCAACGCAGAGGAGATAAAATCTTTCCTCTCTTCAAAGGCCAATGAAATGCCCTGACTAAATAGCTGCCAATGCTGTGGCCCTACTTCTTGGAAGGAGTCTGAGGTCAAAAGAGTCTAGCAATGTTCTGGGGAGATTAACGTCTGATAGCTTACACTTCGAAGGTAGCTATCAGCTGTGACTTCTAGCTATTCCTGCCATGATGTAAGAGGGCACACACTAATCCCTGGACCCCCATGGATGCACCAAGAACATTGAGTCCATTGATAAATTACCATCTCAGCAAGCCACAGCTAAAGATGTTGCTTAAAAGCTCAGTACCGGGCACTCCGAAGAATATCAGATAACTGAAATGCACTCAGGGAACAGCCTTTAAAGTGATTAAGAAGAAAGATGACTTGGTTCATTGAAAATGATTAAACACATTAAATACAGCTTGCTTTAATGACTTCTAAGGGATGTGTTATCATCATCAACTGATGCTGACTACCCATGGAGCAGAAGGCAGAGGATTAGGTATCATGGCAGGGTGCAGGGGGTACAGGGTGGGGATGCTAACACAGGAAAGATGCAGCCCTAGTTCTAAGGAGCTGTGCTATTAATTTCATATTCTGGAGTTTTCTCTATTAGCAGAGCAACATGCCACTTGGAAGAGATAACTGCAAATTCAGACACTTATCATCTAAGGGCACCTTTGTCTTTTTCTTTTCTTTTTTCTTCAAAATCAAACAGCAGAAATGGAAACTGGATGAATTAGTGCAGACTACACTTCAGCAAAGCAATTTTTTAAATGCAATGTTAGCACACATGAAAAAGGGGCCTATCTTTTAACATAAACCTTACTTAATAACTCATCTCCTGTGGGTTTTCCAATAAATTATTCCCAGATGAAATAATGTTTTTAGAATCATCGTTTTCCCTTTAGAAGAGCTGACGATTTAAAATACATCACAAAAAACAAAACAAATATCTGGGTCAGAAGATGATCACCAGATAATCAGAGTTATTTTTATAGATGAAATAATTTCTGACCATCAGCTTAATTCCTTTCTATCAGTCACATAACAGACAATGAGTCTGAGTGGGAAACATCAAGTTGGAGCTCTTTCCCGAGCAGAAATAAACTTTATTTTAAAGACTCACAATTAAAAGCATTCTCCCATTGAGTCTTCCATTTTTGTTTTGTTTTGTTTTGTTTTTGCCCTCAGACATGCAGAAATTAGGAAAAAAAAAAAAAAGTAGTATTACTGGGCCATAGGCCATCAATAATCTATATAGCCAGACTCCTAAAACTCAGAATCAATTGTTCTTAGGTAAAGAATCTCAAAAACTAAATTCACGATTATCTACAGTAATCACTCACACTCTGAACAAGTATTTACAGAGTGTCTAACATGAAGAAGGCAAACTGCTAGACTCAGGAATACAATAGCAAATAAGACAAAGAACGACTCATGTTGCCTAGCAGAGATACAATTGTGGCTATAAAATAGGTCCTCTGCCAAGAATAAAGCAGGGTAAGGGGAGAGGGATGATGACCCCGGATGCTGCTTGAGATACAGGGGACCAGGGAAGGGGTCTTTAAGGAGGGGCCCTATGGGATGTGCCATGTGAAATTGTAGACATGATCAAAACACCACTAGCTTCAAAAATTTTGTCAAATGCTTTCAGAAAGGATTTCTACGTTTATTCACAGCAACTTGATGAGGCAGGAATTAACTATTATTCTCAGTGCCTGAAGCTTTCTAAGCTTGCCTAAAATCATCATGCTAGCAAGAGGTGATGGTGAGATCTGAATCGGCCCACGCTCTGCTCTTCTGTGTGTCCAGTGCAAGCAACGCCTTTGGAAGTGCGGGGAAATAGTAGGAGCAGACACGTTTCCCTGTCGCCACAGGTCGAAAAGGCTGCTCTCGGTTGAACTGTGTGTGTGGATCTGCACTTCGGGGAGCTGGTCTGGAACCCAGTTCTCAGCAAGGGCAGGACAGTGACTGTGTTCACGTCACAGGGAGGGTGGGCTTCCCTTCCAGCAAACAGAACGGCAGAACACACACAGACGATCTTATTTCTGACAGCAAAAGAAGAATGGGGAGGAAGGAAAATGGTTTGAGCAAAGAAAATAATCAGCAGGGACTTCAGGAAAAGGGCTCAGAATAGAAAACAATGAATCTTTAAAAACAAGATAGGAAGCTCTGCTTAAGAAAATCAAGAATAACAGACAGGTCCTTAAATGTTGGCTGACTGAAGAAAACCTGTGGTTGGCTCCTTAAGGGAGAATTGTGAGGAATTTGGGGGTGAGGAGTTGAGGCAGTAAATGTTGATGTTTTATCCATTTTTAGAAAAACAGCAGACAAAGCTGTTAAACTCATGATTATGAAAGAAATCAGGGATTTCATGGAAGGAAAAATAACAATGACAGAAAGGCCCAGATTTCAAACAAGTAATAACTGAGATTATGTTTGAAAATATAGAGTATTCCAGATAACTATGGTCCAATACAGAGTACACATACCAAGTTAACTAGAGACTTTAACTCTGGGATGAAAACGTAACTTTTAGATATTCCTAAGATTTTGTAAAACAGAACTTCCAAATAAAATACGGTTCAAAAGGAGCAGTGTAGGCAGAAGAGATTCTCATATACTTTTCCCTTGACTTGCTGATAGTCAAGGGAAATCAATCTCACAGAAAGCCAAGCACACTGCAATTCTGGATCTGATTCTGATCAACTATGGGGAGAAGAGACCAGCCAGGAGCTAGACATGCTCTCCAGGAGAAGCAGAAATACCAAGAACTTCGAAGAAAACGCCCAGAAGAGACTGGAGGTAGGTTTGAACTCTTCCTTTTAAAAGAATTGATTTTAAAAGTTCAAAGAAAACATGTATGACATGAAACTCAAAAGGGAAGATGCTTCAAGAGGAAAGGGAAGACTCTCAAAATGAAATTCTACCCATACAATTGCAAATTATCTGGGCAGATGAAAATGTAGAGGCATCCAAAGGAACTGATGTGACTCCCCGGGGAGCAGCCTAATGGGCTCACATTTTTAAAGGACACGTACAAAAAGATGAAGAGAAGGGCCCGTAACAAAGAACATAGTATGGTGCATGGTGATTCAAGAAGGCAGAAGATCAGAATGAGCTTAAACTTGCCAAAATGCTAAATATCAAGAACAAAAAAAAAAAAAAAAAAGAAAAAAAAATTAAAAGGGGATTTCAAAAGTTATATTTGAAACAAAAAGAACAAGAAAACACAGATCTGCTATCTGGAGTGTTCAGTGGTTCTCAGATGGAGGGAGCAAAGGGAAGGATACTCTTCATACTGAAAAGGAAGAATAAATCTTGATAAGAGAGAAATGGGTGAAAAGAGGGATCGAGAGATCAAATGGATACTCTTGACAGCTGAAGTACAACCAATAATCTATGAGAGACTCTAGTGAACTTGGGGATCAAGGTCAACTCAAAAGGCAAACATGGGGATGTTTCAAAAAGAAGACAAGGCACTCTGCCGACTGGGAAATTCTAGAACAGTATTAAATGAAAGGTTTACAAGCACTTAGGAAAGGAAATGACAATTTGAGCAGACTCTTCCAGGAAAAGTTTGCTACCAGTGAGTGATAGCAAAAATGAGTTTGAAAGACATTTGCTCTCAATGTAGCATCTGGCAATTGGCCCCGATTTAGGAATGTGGGCTAAAGGACCTTTAGTTGTGAGGATTCGTGATTATTTCAGTGATGATGATCATGGAATTCCTGTACTATCAACAGACTTGGAACATCAAATGAAGTAGTAGACTTGAGAAGGGAAAGCGTGGAAATCTGTGACATGATGAACAACTTCAAGAGTATGACCTTAAAAAAGGAAGAAGAAATAAGGAGACAACTTTGCGAACATCTTGGGGCATCATGTAAAAGGATCGATATGTTCCACGAGGCCCCTTACAATGAAGGGAGGGCACAGGGAGACACATGTGCTCAGTGCCTTTGCTCTGAGCTCAGGGTGTCTGACGATGACCAGGGACCATCCAGAGTTAGGGCACTAGCAGCCCTTGTGGTGTCCAAGCACAGGCCGATGGCCATTGGTCAGGGATGGGTACTCAAGGGAATGATGCTCAGGGTCCTAGATGAGTTGCAGCTGTAACATTGCCACGAACTTTTGTGGCAAAAAGCAGTTCTTAAAATCAAGGGTGCTGGTAGGGCTCCATTCCTGGACGCTGTAGGAAAGGATGCTGCAGGATCCTTTGGCTTGCTCCTTTCTCTCATCACTCCTACCTCTGCTTCCCCTTCTGTTCTCTCCTGACCCCGCTGCCTCCCCTTCAGGAAAATCCTGATACTGAACCCTGGGTCTTCCCAGATAGGCACTCTTAATATAAGCACATCTGTCAAATGCTTCTGTCCAGCAAGGAAACGTTTCCCCAGTTTCCAGGGATTAGGAGATGGACATCTCTGGGAGCCTCAGGAAACAAGTTTCAGAGATTCGATGAATGCTACACCAGGATTCCTGGGGCTGAAGAGGCCCTTCCCCATCAGTGACCAGGGCCCTGGGACACACCGTGCCCATGCATTAAAATTTAAACCATAAAAATAATCCTTTCAATGATATTAGCAAAGTTGGATGTGTCAGCTTGAGCCCAAGTTCAATGCAGGTGATTATCAACACAGAACAGATATCGACCTTTTTCAAAATTTCTCACATAAAAAGTGAAATATTTTTAATAAGCGGTAAAGTTTATTTCCTTATAAATTCCTGTTTACAGGCTCCCCCACCCATTTAAATACAGCAACCTACATCACCGCTGAACCAGGTGCCGAGAGTTTGTGATTACCCTAGCGCTTCCGAGGACTGATCCACAACTTCAGGGGGAAATGCATGAAATATTGAGGAACAAGTGCGGACAGCAGTACTATTATGCAGACCTTGCTACTATCTCTTCTCTCCTGGTCACATTTAATCACTATCAGTTTCTCTTTCCTTTAACTACCTGTCTCAAAACCCATCCATCGGTGAGTACTTGAAACAGTTTTCGACTTGTATTTTCTTTGATATTCAGCCCCAAGTGAAAAACATGAAAAATACATATGAGTTTAGAAAATCAATTTTTCCCTATATTTCAGGTCCTCTGAAGGAACCATGCTGATGTCAGATGTACTGTAGATAAAATAAAGCACCAGTAATACTCTTTTTTTTGGCGGGGGCGGGGGTGGGTACAGGGGACTGAATGCAAAGGCACTCAACCACTGAGCCACATCCCCAGCCCTAGTTTGCATTTTATTTAGAGACAGGGTCTCACTGAGTTGCTTAGCACCTTGCTTTTTGCTGAGGCTGGCTTTTTGAACTCAGGATCCTCCTGCCTCAGCCTCCCAAGCCATTGGGATTTCAGGCATGCATCACAGCACCCGGCAACAAATAATACTTTTAATCAACATTTTCAACCCCCTTGTGTCTTCAAATTTTTCTTTCTTTCTATTTTTTAACAGATTTGTGAACAAGTGAACAGGAAAAATTAAGGACAGCAAAATGATGAAAGAATGAGTGACCCAAGAAGAAAGAAAATTCCTCCCAGAGACCAAGCTGCGAGAGACGGCTCACGGTCTTATTCACCGTGGCCTCCCTAATGCCCACAGAGGGCCGGGCAACTGGCAGGAGTCTGAGTGCACGACAGGGTGGTGCTCTGTTTCCTCCCCACTGTGTTCCTGGCTCAGGGACAGTGACTCACCCGTGGTAAGCACCAGAAGGACTCAAACAAAGAGTATGTGCATTAGTGAGACACCCCGGGACACGGAGCCGGCAGAGAAGGGTGCGCTCTTACCTTGCTGTCCTTGTCTGGTTTGCTTGCTGAACCGCTCCCACAAGCTGATGAAGAGCCGTCCGGAGACGTGGGAAGTCCAGGGAGAATGGTCACTGTCCGGCCACTGGGCTCGGCTTCCAGAGAGGCAGCGGTGATGCTCGGGGAGGTCAGCGAAGTGGCCGCAGCACAGGCCAGCGGGGCACTGGCTCGACTGATACCGACAGCAGCAGCGTGGGCAGCGGAGCCTGCCATTGGAGGCAGAGGCTGCGGGGAGGCCAGTGAATGGTGGGGCAGCCCCACAGATGCAGGCCCGAGGCAGGCGGCATTCTGTACCTGGATGGGCGTCACTGCTGCTGTGGGGCGTTCTTGGTTATGTGCTGCAACTGGTAGACGACAGGAGGAAAAAGTCAACTTCCTACCAAATGCTACTCATTGAAACATGAGTCAGTTTGCTGCATCACACACAATGAAAGGTTGCTCCTGCTACTTATTACAATAAAGAATGGATGGATAGTAGTTTAAATGCAATTAAAATCTTGGCTGGATCTCTAGACACTATTTTCCTTCCAGATCAGCCCTGGATTCTGTTGAGAACCTAGAGGTTCATCTATAACCCCAAACCCTTTAGTTAAAGAGAACAACTTTCCACACAGAATAGGTTTTTGATGGTTCTCTACAGTGTTGAACAATATCAGCCTCAAGTCCTTTTTCCATTAACCATTCCTCTTTTCTTTTTTTGAGTTGGGGGTCTTGCTATTCTGCTCAGACTGGTCTTAAACTTATGATCCTCTTACCACAGCCTCTTGAATAGATGGGATTATAGACAGTCCTGTGTCATCGTGCCTGGCTCATAACAAACCATTTCTCTTCTTTTTCCGATAGAATTTACAAGCCTTTGGTTTACCCCACCATTGTTACCCAAGATTCTCAGTAGGTTTTCAATGCTACAGAACCAAGAAAGCTATTTAAGATTCTACTGGGTCTAAAATAGATTCACAACTTAGTTCATCAACAATGATCAACACACCAGTTGGCAAAGAATCATACAGTGGTCACAGAGCTAGGAACAGTGAGATCTGAGACTTACAATCTTGATTACAGAAGTCATATTTTCTTTTACTCTTTGGACAGGGTTTCACTAAGTTGCTTTGGCTGACCTCCAAGTTGAGATCCTCCTGCCTCAGCCTCCAAAGTAGCTGGGGTTACAGGCATGAGCCACCATTCCCAGCTTATTCTACTGTTGTACATCATTTTAATATTATACCCAATTTTCTCAACCTCTGCCATAAATGATCTGCTATTAGACAGGCAAATTCTTTCCCTGATGTGCCCTGGTCTTCTCCTCTTACCTGTCCTCACTGCGTTGCGGGCCTGGTTGACTGTCATTTGCCCAGTCATGTGCAACAGGACCTTCGTCTGAGGACTTGTCTGGATGTGAGCTGCTGATACCACAGCCGTGGGGACGACACTGGGTGTCCCGGCCACACCGTTTCCCTGGAGCTTCTGGACAGGCCCTCCTGCAGTGGAGGGACTGACCATGGTCACCCCTCGACTAGTCTGACCCGCAGTAGACATAGGGACTTTAGTCTGGGAAGCATTTGTCACTGCCCTGCCAAGACAGAAACAGAAAGAAAGCCCAATCCATCAGCAAAATGAGAGAGAGAACAATTAAATGCAAGAAAAATGACTCAGGGCTTTAAAGACAGAAGGTTATAAAAAAAAATGAATGGAATTATTTTTATAAAGTTTTTAAGAAGAGCAAATTTAAAGAAATGATGGCCCTGAGGCAGAGAAAGGTCTTGAAATTGTTCTGAGTCACCAGAGACCAACACGTCACACTCTGCTCAAGAATATACAGTCGCTGGGTTCGGTTTTCCACACCACAAACCAAGCATCCCACTGACTTCCAACGTCCTGGATTCTCCTGCTTTCACCTACCAGACAAGCCAGGTGTGCTCCCTTAAATAGCCTCCTTTCCACAGCTTCTGACCTTCTCTCTGCTTGCCTCGGACACATCACTCAAGTGCCTGTGCGCGCGCGCACACACACATGTATGCACACATTCTGGGAATGTCCTTTCTGGCTGCTCTTGACCAATTTCAGTCTCATTTGTTTCAGGACCCAGCACAAATCCCATCATTTCCAGAAGTCTTGCCTGGGGTCCAAGTTTAGGATCTTATGGTTCCACTGTTTCATGGAGATTCCTTCCTTTGTTCTGTTTTTATATTCAACACAGTGTATCTTTAATTTAATTTCGCCCCTGATTACAAAATGTGGTGTATTCTTTTTTTAGACATAAATCCCGTGTTAATGCTGATGACGCAGTGAAAGTTCCTTGAAGGTAGGACGAGTATAAAATGGGACTTTTCTGTTCCTTCAGTATTTGCACATTTTGGGGGGTATGGCCAGCTCTGAACAAATTTATTTCCTATGAATGTAATTACAGTAAGTACAAAGTGATTTTGTATAATGTATTTTTTTTATATTCCTAAAATCATTTAGACAATGACCATTCTGTTTAGAGCAATTCTCTAATAGATAGGGTATTTTAATAGCACAAACATCCTTCTTATTTATCATGATGACTCAGAGAGCACTTGCTCTAAGCAAGAATTGCTCCAGAGTTAAACAGACTTATGATAATCTGTTTTTGAATCTCAGCTTGACCAACTTCACTTATTTACTGTTGTTTGTTGTAGTTCCCGTATTTATTATTATTATTATTTTGCACCAAGGAGGTTTTATCTGCCATTTTCTGGATGGGCTGGATTCTGAATGTCGATTTTAACATATACAGAATAGAAGGTTTATATTGATTAAAAATTTGCAAGTCAAATTTTTAGCTAACATTCTGTCACCATCTGCAACAATAGTGATTTTCATTTGATTAGGCTGCTAGCCAACCTATAAATCAAGGCTAACAGCTGACAAACATGTCAGTTCATTAAGTCGTTTGTTTAAAATCAGGACATTTGAAGAATGATTTAACATAGTTAAACCTAGACTATTATTAAAAGTCCAGTGGTCAGAACCTGGGGCTCCTTCCAGGTTGATACTAATTACTGGTCATTTCCTTTAGTTCCTGAGAATAGTTTCTTCAGTGACCAGAAGGTAAATTATCTTTAAATAAAATAGAGAAAAATTTTACATATATAAAGTGCCTATCATTCTGTAATAGGATTTTCTATGATACTTTGGGCCAGATTATTCCTGTGGGGTGGGGTGGGGGGCTGTCTTGCACACTATAGGATGGAACAGCATCTCTGGGCTCTACCCACTAAATGCCATCAGCACCCGACACCTTCTGTTGTGACCAAATCCCCTTCAAAATTATGTTCAGTTACTGACTGCTAAATGTCCCCTGGGGAACAAAACTGCTCTTATTTAAAATGGATCAACACCATATTTAAGGCATTTTTATTTCTGACTAAGAATTCACAGGTAATTGCCCAGTTAATGACTGGACAAAGATCCACATGGTTTGGGCTTGAGACCTTCTTCAGTGTCATCTCAGACAAGTTATTTGATCTCTCTATGCCTCAATTTCCTCACTTATTAAGTGGGGGATGATAACAGTAACTACGCCAATGACGTGTTTAAGGACTAAGAGTTGATAAATGTAATGGGTTTAGAAATCAGCATGCCTGATATATAGTAGGCATTATATAAACAGAAAAGTATCAATAACATAGCTCTTATTTCAAACATTATTCCTTTTATTTTCTAGTAGGAAAACAACTGAAAAGGGTACAGTTGAGTCTTCTAACATATAAATTAAATAACTTCCAACCCAGTATATTTATGGTAGAAACCTATAATTTCACACATATCCATGTGAAAAGTAAGCTAAGATCTTAGCATTAAAAGGGGTTTTAGCAGATATAGATATGGATTTTAAAAACGTTGGCTATGTAACAGGCAATTATAATGTGAGAAGAAATATGAACAGGCTGGAAATCCTGGGAAAGAACAAAGCTGTTCTGTTTAGAACTTAGTAAACCATTTACTCAAAACCATACCTTGTGATGGGTGCCACGTAATTGCCAGGGAAAACCCCGATCTTGCTCGTATGCATTGATGTCCCTTTGAACCAGCCATCCTGGCAACGCTCAAACACTAAAAACATCTCCCCTTTTCTCAGTTCTAGTTCATCCTCTTTCCGGGGAGTGTATGGGTAGATAGCCACATACCTAGAATAGGAAGAAAACAACTGATCTCAGGCTAACAGACATACACCGAGGTGCTCAAAACTCTTGTTTGTTACAACATCTTGAATGTTGTACAAATGTTACTGAAAGCACAAACTTTTAATCTATAAGTAGCATTCGCAAGTCTCCCTAGAAAGAGATTTTGCTGTTTACATTTTAAATGGAGTTACAGGCCTTCCTTGCCAAGATCTTCTCCTCCCAGGGTGGAAAAGTATCCATCAAATGGTATTTGTATGGTGTAACAGAATTAATGCTGTTTCTTTTTTAAAAAATATTTTTTAGTTGTTGATGTACATTTATTTGTTTGTTTGTTTGTTTGTTTGTTTATTTATTTATGGTGCTGAGGACTGAACCCAGTGCCTCACACATGCTAGGCAAGCCCTCTGCCACTGAACCACAACCCCAGCCCTTTAATGCTGTTTCTAAGAGTGCCTTATGTGCTGCTATGGATTAGGTTCCCACTGGGAAAACTGGGCACTTCAAATGGCACTTGATAGACTTGGGAAGTAGCCTCAAATGAGGGCATATGGTATAAAATCCCATTGAGAAGCACAATATGCTGCCTTCCAAACACAAGCTCAACCTAGAGGCTTGGGCTGCACCTGTTTGTACATGCTCAGCCAGGAAGGAGATTGCATTTGAAAAACTCAGAGGAAAAGAAGGTCTAGGTCATAGAGAGTACAAAACAATGCCACAATGTAAAGTGATTCTGCCTATCAACACCTGAAAACAGATACTCAAACTAATCTACAGTTCTGACTAGTGCTGTGAACAATCAGGATTTGTAAAAATCTTATTGCATTCTGCCACTAATAAACTCTGGACAGAATAATAAACTTTTCTGGATAATTATTGCTGGGATGTAGAGTTTTTTATACCTAGATCTGATTTGTTTTTTTAACATATATTTTAAAATATTTTTTATTTGTTCTTTTATAGTTATATATGACAGTAGAGTGTATTTTGACATACTATACATAGGAGTCCAACTTCCCATTCTTGTGGTTGTACATGATGTGGAATTATACTGGTTGTGTATTCATATATGAACACAGGAAAGTTATGTCCAATTCATTCTACTGTCTTTCCTATTCCCAACCTCCCTCCCTTCCCTTCATTCCCCTTTGTCTAATCCAATGAACTTCTCTTCTTCCCAACTCCCTCTTATTATGTGTTAGCATCCGCCTAGATCTGATTTGTGTGGAACACCTTCCTGTTTCTTAGTGCCCTACTGCAAGGAATGAAAATCAAGACCAAAAGCTCAAACAGGAGTTATAGAAAAAAAAAAAAAGGCAGTTCCCCACACGTTTGCTATTAGAAAGAAGAAGAAAACGGCATGTTTCCCTAACGGTGAAAGGCCATTCCACAGCAAGAGAGCTGCCTAGCACGCTGATGTGTTAGGCTCATTCTGTTTCAGCAGTTTCCTAATTATATGCATGACCAGGCAGAGGTCTGCAGAACACCAACTACTTGGTGGGCCATAAGCCTGTCAGCAGCTCATATCAGAAAGGTGTGTTTCTACCTCTACTGCTTAGGCTTAGTTTTAAGTGAATACTTAAGCAGTAATAAATGACATCCTCACTTACACACTTGGGCGGGTTTGAGGCCGTAAATGTGCAATCTGGTCAGTGGATCCTGCCACAGGCCTGGGTCCCATTCCAGCAGCAGCGGCGGCAGCAGCAGCAGCAGCAACAGCAGCAGTAGCGCCTGGTGGTGTGGAGGCGAGGACAGTGGCAGCCAGGAGAGGGGGCGGTGGAAGGGGAGGATTCATGGTCTAGTATAGAAAAAAGAAAAGGAGGGGACAACAAAATATTTATTAACATCTGCTATGGAAGGTGGGACGGAAAAGGCACCAGAAATCTATACAAGATTCGAATGGAATCCATACAGAGCAGAACCAGCAGGCTGCCTCCTATGAGACCCCCTTTAAAAATTCATCTTAAAGCCACAGCAACTTTTTTTTTTTACCAAACAGGTAAGCAATCACTCTTGGAAAGAGGAAAGAGGAAAAAGGGGGAAAAAATAAAGAAATGATGCCATGTAATTTTAAGATTAATAGCACTTTAAAGTACAAACTGGGACCAGAATTCAAATGCCTGTGGAGGGGGCAGCTATGTCATGCTGTTTGCTAGGAATTAATTTGTGATTGTTTCTGTAACCTGAAACTTAAACACAACACAAAACAATTTAGCGGCATTATAGCTCAAATCATTCCTTTGAAAGAAAATTTCTTTTGATGCTTGGTCTCCAAAAAGCCAAAACAATAGCGTGCCACAGTCACTGGGCCATTGTTGCTACTTTGGCTTATTCTTTTCTCAACTCTGCTAGCTTTTGAAATTTAGGACTATCAAGGCTGGTAATCTTTAACAAGTACACCAGTGAAAAGCTGCTCGTTCCTTTATGGGCACAGCCTAATGGGGTTCTGCCTACAGGACTCCAAGTCTTTTGAAAATCAATGGAGCAATTGTTACTTTCTGATCTATAAACTCCAGATGATTCTCTAGGGTCTGCATATTGAAACTCCTGGGAAAACAAGCACTGACTGAAAACCCACCACCCCCTCCCCCAATCTTTGAAGCCCATAATCGTAAAAATTGAATCAGAAGAGAAATAAGGAGACTAATAGATGTACCTACCTAGCATAAATGGCTTCTATGCATCAGCATATTGATGAGAAAAATTTAGTGATTTCTAAACGTAGCTCATAAGTCATTCTGTTTCTATTTTTTTGGAATAAAAATTTGAATCTCATCAACATGTACTTCCTCTATTAACTAGGGATGTGGTCGTTCCACCTAAGGACAACAACCAGGTCCTGGAAGACCATCCCCAAGGTCCCTATGGGCCCGGTTGTACCAGATTATCTCTACTAGGTGTACTACCAGTCACCATCCTGTTGCAAAAGCAACAGGGAGCCTTGCATGGGGTTACCTCTCTGTTTTTCCCTCCTGCTAACAGCCAACTTCTGCTGATGATCCTCTTTCACTCATTCTGTAATCCAATACCTCTATATTCTTACATCCTACCTCATAAACATCACATCCCACTCCCTCCTTCTCTCTGTGCACCACTAGAAACTATAAACTCTTATGAAACCCTACTGACTATATGCTAGAAGATAATCGTACTCATCATTTCTGTTTATAGGGGCAAAACTGTAACTGTCTAAATAGAAGCTAATTGATTTATGGCTGCATATTAGTTGCTGTGGGTGCTCTAAACATTGATCTCCCCCATAAAGGTGATATATTCCTAACCTGCAGGGACACTACAAGATTATAAGGTAGAAACTGCAATACCTCAGATTCGCACTGCAAGAGAGTAAGACACATAGACAACATGAAAAAACACGGGAGGAAAACACCCCAAACAAAAACCAAGATACTACAACAATAGAATCCATTGACAGCACAGTAGATGAAATGACAGAGAAGGAGTTCAGAATGTGCATAATTAAAATGATCAGGGAATTAAAGAATGACCTCAGAGAGCAAAAAAAGGCAAAAATTGATCACACCAACAAAGAGATAAGAGAGCAAATACAGGTAGCAAAAGACTACTTCAAGAAAGAAAGAGATTTTGAAAAAACAAACAGAAATCAATGAAATGAAGGAAACAATAAAACAAATTTAAAAACTCAATAGAAAGCATCAACAACAGACTAGATCACTTGGAAGACAGAACCTCAGACAATAAAGACAAAATATACAATCAAGTGTGTGTGTGTGTGTGTGTGTGTGTGTGTGTGTTTGTATATATATGCTAATTGATTTATGTATATGTATATATATACGTATATACATAAATCAATTAGTATATATATACACATATATACAAACACACACACACACACACACACAAACACACAATCAAATATAAAATAAAGTTGACCACACAGTGACGATGGTAGGAAACCATGAATAGAACATCTAAGAATTATGGGATAGCATCAAAAGATCAAATCTAAAATTTATCAGGATAGAGGAAGGCACAGAGTTTCAAAACAAAGGAATGCACAATCTTTTCAATGAAATAATATCAGAAAATAAAGAATGTATTGGAAAATCAAATACAAAAGATTTACAGGACATAAAATGTACAAAATTACAACAGATCTATACCAAGGCACATTAAAATAAAAATAACTAGCATACAGAATAAGGATAGAATTTTAAAGGCCAGAAGAGAGAAGAATCAGATTACATATGGGGGAGACCAATTCAGATCTCAGCAGACTTTTTAGCCCAGACCCTAAAGGACAGGAATTCCTGGAACAACATATACCAAGCTCCAAAAGAAAATGGGTGCCAACCAAGAATCTTATATCCAGCAAAACAAGACTTCAGATTTGATATGAACTGAAAACCTTTCATGATAAACAAAAGTTGAAAGAATTTACAGCAAGAAAAACTGCACTAGAGAGCATCCTCAGCAAAATATTCCAGGAGGAGGAAATGAAAAACAACAATGACAATCAACTAAGGGAGGAACTACACTAAAGGAAAGCCCAATCAAAGGAGAAACCAAGTCAAGTTAAAAACCAAAAATAAACCAAAATGACAGGGAATACAAACTATATTTCAATAATAACCCTGAATGTGAATGGCCTAAATTTATTAATTAAAAGGCATAGACTGGAAGATTAGAAAAAAAAAAGACCCAACAATATGCTGCCTTCAAGAAACTCATCTCACAGGAAAAGACATCCCAGGTGAAAGGATGGGAAAATAGCCCTTTTATCAAATATAAGATAGTTGTAATTTTGTGCATTGGTTTCTGTGTCCTCTATTCTGTACCATTGGTCCACC